GAATCGGCTGATTTTTCATGATTTTACATGACATCATGATCTGCAGAGGTCACACCTTTTTGCAAACTGCCATAATTGAATCTCTTTTTATTTTAACTTACGTATTTAATTCGCTGTAATTTAAACCGAAAATTTTCATATTTTATCCGGCAATCAACCGCAAGGGTTGTTCCTCGAATATAATTTAATCTCATGACTAGATATTGATATCGGTATCAGTATTAAGGCATTAACGTTAACGTTAACGCACATGACATAAAAAATACCATTCCATTATACGATCATATGTAGCGTGAAATTTTCAACTATATTTCAAAAAAAAATCATGAGTAAAAAAAATTTTTGACAAAGCGACTTTCTACATTTACTGCATTAAATAAACGTTCATTTACCTGTGATGATAATTTTCAATATTGTCATAACATCTATTAATAATCCCAAGAAAATCCGAGATAATTCAATGTAGAATTTTTTAAAGGATAAGAACCTTCAGTGGAACCAGGATTGACATCAGATGGATTATCGATAGATCTCCATTGTACAATAGCCTGTGGTTGAAAACTATAAGAGACTAAAGTTCCTTGTTGAATTTTTTCAATTATTTCTAAATCAATTGGCTCTCGTGAATTATTATGTTCAAGATTTTTCAATAACTTATTGGCACCCTGAGATGAAATAGCGTAAGCATGAGTGCAACCTGGTTTCATAGATCTGTAAACTTTGTGTTCATTAGAGCTGCCAACAGGTATACCATTTTTTTCCCAACCACAATGACCAAGATATAATAAATCCCAATCAGTTGGTAAATCAGGAAGAATATCAGTCATTATATTCACAATATTCATTTCGATATCTACATCATCTTCTAAAATTAAGACACTATCATAGCCATTTGCGATAATTGATTGGTATACTTTGTAATGACTTTCGTAACAGGCTTTTTGAGAAGTTTTAAGTTGACTAGAATTAAATTTTTCCAATAATTTTCTATCAAATTTTGAAGCAGCAGGAAAATAATCGAAATTTAAATTAAGTTGATTTGCAATAGCCTCCATTTTTTCACGTCTATCAATTCGATATTCAAGATTTATAACATAAATATGATCAAAACCAAGTGTACAATTTAAAGATTTAGAATTGAAAAGATCGGTAGTAGAAGGAAACAAAAAGATTATGTGTAATGATATGATAGTGAATATACAGAAAAAAAAATATATCATTTGCTTCTTCATAATTATTAAAGATTATTAAAGATTATTAAAGATTATTAAAGATTATTAAAGATTATTAAAGATTATTAAAGATAATTAAAGATTATTAAAGATTATTAAAGATTATTAAAGATTATTAAAGATTATTAAAGATTATTAAAGATTATTAAAGATTATTAACGATAGAACAAATACTGCTATTATAATATTATAATGAACTTTAAATCAAATAAAAAGAACCTTGTTATTTTTATGATCCAACAGCATAACGATAGCGATAGATATATAGTGTAGAATTAAAAAATCAATTATTGACCAACAAGCCATAATAAGAAATCGTGACTGCATAACGATAATTACGGTTGTCTATATACAGTATAGAATTTAAAATAAAACCAATTATTGCAAATAAGATTGTTACATAACTTACATAACTTACAGCTGTCAATATATAGTAATGAAAATAAATTATTATTTCTGCCAAGACATGAATAATTTATCTCAAAAATTTTATGCATAATTCTTTAGAGTCCTGGTCGGCGACCCAGCACCAAATTAAAATTTGTACAGAATTATTACATCCAATAATGAGAATTTAAAATTGTGATTACCAATTTATAATAACCAGACAAGTAATCTGAATTTATTGCACTGGTTCTATATTACTTATTGGCACTGGATTGTACTGTACGTCAAGCACTGTTATAACCATGAGGTAGACTTGACAACGAGATGCAAATTAACTCAGGGTTACAAACATAGGTTATACGGGATGAGTATTCGAAATTAATGATAGGGGATGTATTTCAGTTAGTAGGTACGTTATTCGCAGAACTCTCACTTTATTAGTTTAAGCGTTATATTCATACATTCCAAATTTCCTTTGTCTGAAACCAAAATCTTGGAGTTCGAACCAAGATTTGTGGTCTCTAGATCTGTGATTTAAAGTGATCGATCTGTGTGAAATAAGTTTTCTTTGTTATATTTTTCTATATTGTATTTCCTACTATGTTTGTCATGTTATTGTTATGAAATGGTGAAAACTACGAATCTTGGCTTAAGGTTTTCGTAGATAGTTCCGTTATGTATGGGCTGAATATTTGAATAACTCAGTTACACACGGGGTAGTTTCAAGTAGTGATACAAACCGTTAGTTGAAAAACCAATTAATTGATAACCAATCGATTTAAAAGTTTTCAAATAACCTATCATCTGCAATTAGTCGATAGTTTTTGTTAGCCTCTAACCAACTAATATCAGTTTAATCAAATATTCTACAGTTGACCCTCGTTAATATCAATCCATTTAGATCGCTTTCATATTCATGTTGATAGTGATATTAATGTGAATCATATTTAAAGTTTGATATATATGTGGAAAATTTTAATATAAATTTAATATATAGAAATTCATTTTTTTAAGGTTGATATTAACGGGTCTGTGTCATTGCTTAGTTCACCGACAATTAATTTACGGACAAGATTATTTTACCGACTATTAACTCACCGACAAGTTTTTTTTTTCTTATAAATTACACTAACCTAAACTCTAATTCTAGCCTGACCCTAACGACAATGACCAGAATTACTTTGTCGGTGAAATGAGCTGTCTGTGAAATAAACTGTCAGTGAATAAACTTGCGGTAACGAATAATTGTAAGTGATTGTCAACGAAATGAGGGTCAACTGTAATAAATTAACAATTAAGATTAAACGAAAAATTTTACGAAATTGGCGGATTAAGTAATAAAACTTTTTAATTGCGCATTATTTATTTAGTTTTATTTTATTCACGTTGTATATTCAATGAATATAAAAAAATTTACTGATTAATCAACATGAATAAAAATGAAAAGATATAAACTCTAATAATTTAAATACATAAATTAATAGATCTCTATACTTATAACATAAATAAAATGAATGAGATTGGTTATGAATTTAATTAACTATTTAAGTTTCGCTGAATTTATAGATGCAGACTTATTTACGTCACTAGTTACGGCTCAATTGCGCCTTATTTTATAATACCAATTTTATATATAAGACGTAACTAATTGATGTCATAGGTCTGCATCTATAGCTGAATAAAATTAAATAAAGAAATATAAATTTTATCATAATTGATATTTGCAACTAATTGGTCACATGATTTAACAAGTCGATTAGTCGCGATTTGAAAAAAAAATTTCTACCTAATTTGGATTAACTCCGGCCTACGTTAAGTATAGTTTGGGCCAGTTCATTTAATTTTGGTAAACAAATAACGTCATGAGTGTTTATTATGTGATCGTTGGTCACCGAGTTAATTGAACATGGGGCTCATATTTAAATCCAAAGACCACGGAAGATGAACCCGTGTGTAATTAGTTTGTTATTCACTACATACCCATATAATAACTATAATCAGGGACCCGAAAGATTAAATATTAGATTTCACTGTCAAAATACAAAAGTTATTGGTACTGTATTTGTAATGAGTATCATAGCTCTACCGGCTTGTATATTAATTAAAATAAAAACCGATTATTCAATGGAGAAAACTAGCCGACTTGCATCTCTAGCTCAGGGTCCCGAAGGGCTGACATATTAAATTATTAAATTTTTGCAGCCAAATAAAAAAATCATTGGTGCTTCGTTTGCAGTATTCTAAGACAATAGGATTTATTTGGTAGCTATTTTTATAAAAAAAAAAAAAAAATTGTAATATATAGTTATTGGATACTACGCAGCAGCCAATAACGGAAAAAAATTCATTATCTAGCTGTGAAATTTAATATGTCAGTTTCAGGACCCTGAAATGACACATATTCAATTCGTTGCCAGATAAACAAGCTATTGGTTGCGTAGCATCCAATAACGGTATTATCCGGCAGCTTACGACGACCGAATCAACAGAATAACTCGAGTTCTTATTGGTGATGATTCCGTCATCATCAAAATAACGAGTTATTCTGTTAATACGATAGTAATAGGCTGTCGGATAACAAGTACTTATTTAGCAGCATATAATTTATATGCATATAGTGGGTGTATAACAGATAAGACAAAAAAAAAACGAGGCAAGATTTGTTTGAATTAACTAAATAACTATAATGATACAGTAATTGATTCGGATTTGATTTAAAAAGAAAAACTTAATAAAAAATTATATATACGTACAGTACGTACCAAATATACATACATACACACATATATATATATATAAACATTTGGAGCCGAAACTTATAGGTTTAGATATCCAGGTTACTGTAATTATAACAATATGAACCAAAAATATCGATTAACTCCAGGGTACGTATTATTGATTAATCCTTACATAGTAATAGGATCCAAGCACCAGTCCTGGAACGCATTGCAGGGGTTTTTTTACGGCATACTTGACCATTATTATCAACGTTCTGTGAATCGGGATCAATAATATGTATAATATGTATCGTTATTGGCTAAATTGGGTGTTTTTTTCCAAAATAAAAAAGTATGGTTGTGTGATTTTACTCTTAATTTTGATCATCTGGCGTTGTTATTGGGTGACGCAGCTTGCCGTAAAAATACTGCAAAACACTGCAAAATAAAATTAGTAATTTATTTATGTAATTTGAGAATGAACTAATCACAGTTGCACATTTTGTCTACAAAGCGTTTATTTGTAAAACCCCCTATTGTCAGGAACCCGTAACATTTAATAACGATAACAACAAACACAAAAAAAAAAAAAAAGTATTCAAAATCCAAAAGGACCTGTTTATCATTATGTCGTCCAATATGTACTTATGTACTCACACCAAAATGGGCTAACTTTTATGACTTGACCGTGCCAAGATCATAGTCTAAATATAGAAAAGTATTTGCCACTTTGTCAGATGACCTTTTCAACTTTAGCCAAATTTTTAATAATTAACCAAATTAGTAAGGCTCGACAAACTACTGCGCTTATTAAAATTAGAAAAAAAAAAGATTCATGATCCATAAACTTAGATTATAGGAATAATTCTACAAAGCCCAAGATATTGGATTTGTTGTTACCATCAAAAAACTGAAAAAGACGACCGATTTTCACGACAGACTGATTTTCATGTTTATTATCGTGATACCTTTCAAAAGAGTGTAATATATTATGTAATTAATAAATAATAACAACTTTAAAGATATTTTAAATTCCTGGAAAATAATGACAAAATAGCAATTACACAAAAATAATTATATGTAGGTACAAAGAGGAGATCAATAATGGTATAATAAACTTTACAAGAATAGTTTTCTATAATAGTTTTCTATAATAGTAGGTATAATTTATTATCCATGTATTATCCTTGTATTATCCTTGTATCGGCGGAAATAAAAAATTAAAGTTTTCCACAAAATCAACGAATTTTTTTTATTCCTTTTGTACTTTGTTTGATACAACTAATTAGAGAATGTGAATTCCTAGTAAATTCGTAAAATTTAGTAACTGATAATAGCCACATCATACGACAATAGTACGCACTTTTTTTCTACAGAGAGGAAAAAAAAAAATCTTGAATAAAGTTATTTTACGTTTTAATAAAACGGCGTCTTCTTAAGTTTTTTCCTAATAGATTAACAAGCTTGTGATCTTGAATGCTAGTAAGAAATCGTTTTTAAGCCCAAACGTACGTACGTATAATTGTGTTGCAGATGTATTGTCATAGTCTTAGTCACGATAGTATAAAAAGGTTACAACAAACCGGTTTTTAATATAAAGTACAACGGAGTTAAAAATACAGGCATACAGTGATTACGCCCACACTACCTACACTACCTACACTACCTACGCACGTATTACTTTGTGCGCTTTTGTTATGATCATTGTTTTTAAAGATGTCAAAATATTAGTGTGAAATATTACTATTATAATATTATAATCACTCACACGATTGATCTCTTTTCGCGGTAATTTAAACTGTATATAATAAAGAATAAATAAATAGTAATTTAATAGACAAAGCATTAATTAAAATTTAATGAGCACTTAATTTAAATATAAATATACTTTTTAACAAAGAAAATATAAAGAAAAAACTTATATGCATTACACGTACTTACGTACTCACCTACTCGAAATATAATTCTTTAAATTTTTTCAATTTCTGACGACATTTTTTAGACATTCATTGTCTCAAAGTTTCTTTTTAATCGCATGACTTTCTTAGATAATAGTTTAATTTTTTAAAAATTGCAGAAATTTTTTTATCAATTTTATCAATAATAGTTTAATTGAATCCTGCAAGTTTGCATAATTAGATTTAACGTTATGGAGCTATTATCTAACGCTATATAAAATTAAATTGGTGATGTGTACGCACGTACGCCGTTTCATGGATGATCTCGGAGAATTAGAGAGAAATAAACAAAGATGACAATGGGCGTATGCAGAATGCAAAAGTTCTGGTCTTGATATATATTACTTTATTTTTTTATTAAAAGTTACAAGAATAATACTTTTTGTGTAATGTACTTAAGTAAATATGGCTGCATTAACCGTATTAATATTGATACTGTTCACACAAGGTTTGAAAATAAAAAGTCACGACCTTTTTTCTAAAAAAAAAAAATTCAAAGCTTATTAAGATACACTCCCTTGTACGCAAAATGAATATATGAATTTCCTTAGTTCATTAATTTAAAACTAAGTTATATCAGATATAGTTTTTGTAATGCTTTTTTTTTTTTAAAAAAAAAATTCTTTTATAAGATAAACTTTGTTAAAAAAAAAAATTTTTTTCACTTTTCATATTAAAAAGAAAGAAAAAAAAAAAATCGATAAATATGCAAAATTCGGAATCACTTTCTATTAATATTCCGAAACCTACAAGTCGAAAGGCTTCTATCGTTTCTGCGAATATTCCATCAAGTCCTCATTTCATTCAAAATAATTTAAGTCATGACTTAAATGATATTCTTCGAGGTTTTGTTGATGAATTATGTGAAATTTTTATTGAGGCAAGGCAACGTGGTAAACCTGATACAAATACTTGTAAACTTTTTACCGATTATTTAAAATCAGAAAATCAAAATGTAGAACAAATTTTTGAATGCCTTTTAAATAATACTCATAGACCTGAATACACTGCTCTTTTAGGTTACTTTTATTCTAAAGGAATAGGAACTAAACCTAGTTTTCGTAAAGCTTATAGTTTGTATCTTTCTGAAGCTAAAAAAGATTATTTTATTGCTCAAGATTTAGTTGGTGATTGTTATTATTTGGGTAGAGGTACAATTAGAGATTGTAGAATGGCTTTTGAATGGTATCAAAAAGCTGCCGATAATGGAAGTATTGGTGCTCTAACAAGTTTAGGAATGTGTTACATTTTAGGTGAAGGTGCTCCAATGGACTATCATAATGCGTTTCAACATTTTAGAAAAGCTGCAAATTTAGGAAATATTATGGGAATGTATCGTTTGGGTTATTGTTATGAATATGGAATAGGTACTGAGAAAGATCTCAAAAAAGCCTTTCTATTATTCGAACAAGCTGCAAGAGGTGGTTCTACTGATGGTAAAAGAAGTCTTGCCTCATGTTATGAAAAAGGAAAAGGAATAAAAAAAGATATTAAAAAAGCTAAATTTTGGAATAAAGAAGCTGCTAATGACAGTTATAAAACGACCAACAAACAAGCTCAAAAAAATAAATTACAATCAAAAAATGCTAAAAAAGGTATTTATATATTTATATTAACTTGTTGTATATTAACTTGTTAACTTGTTAGATTGTTAGATTCTGACTTGTTAGATTCATACTTACTCACTCATAAACTTACGCGCATATAATACATATCATTCTTAGCATCTCCCGGTAAAAGCAAATTATCTAAGACTGCCAACACAGGTAATAACTAATAAATATTTTTTGTCTTTTTTTCACTTTTGAATTTACATTAATCATTAATTGCATTACTTCTGCTTTTTATGACTTTTAAGATTCTACACGACGTTCAGAACCTTCAAACAAAAACAATTCTTCATCGAACAATGTTAAATCATCGAAAAATGTTAATTTAAATGAAATTCCTTTAGAACCTTCTAACAATGTCAATTTACATGAAACTCCCTCAGAAACTTCGAACAATGTCAATTTACATGAAACTCCCTCAGAATCTTCGAACAATGTCAATTTATATGAACTTTTTTCTGAATCTTCAGTCGAAGATAATTTATTGTCAAACAGTGATCATTTACATGAACTTTCTTCAAAATCAGAGGTTATTGATTTGGGTAAAGTATTCAAATTAATTAACTATCCTCCATAAACTTGGTTATTAAATTTACATTTTTTTGAAATCATGTTATTTATGATATCCTGATATCACGTTATTATTATATTTAGAACCTTCCGTAGAAAGCGATTTATCGTTGAAAACTATCGATTTACGCGAATCTTCTGAAGAATTTTCCGAAACTATTATTCCAGGTAAATTTGTTCAAATTTATCTTTTATTTAATTTATTATATTATCTAATCAATGCCGTCCATGTTTAGAACCTTTCGACGAAAGTAATTTATCAGTAGAAACTATTGATTGGCATGAATCTTCTAAAGAGGAACCTTCTGAAATTATCATTCCAGGTAAAATATTTAAAAAATTTTTGCGTTAAATTTAATTTAGCTCTAATCTTAAATTATTATATCAGTTGAAACTTGTTCAGAACCTTCTGTTGAAAGCGAAATGTCGTTAAAAGCTATTTGTTTACGTAAATCTCCTCTTCCCGAGGAATCTTCTAAAATTATTACTCCAGGTAAAGCATTTAACCACTACATTATGCTTTCAAATTCAAGTTTTAAATCATTATATTAATTGAATCATAATCATCAGAACCTTCCGACGAAAGCAACTTGTCATTTGAAACTACTGATCTACATGAACCTTCTTCTGAACAATCTTCTGAAATTATTATTCCAGGTAAATATTCAATCAATCATGATATTTATATTTTTAAATTTTTGATTTAACAATTTTATCCTTGCTTTAAATTATTATATCAGTCACACCATGTCCAGAACCCTCTGTTGAGAGTAGCCTGCCATTAGAAACTACTGATTTACACGAACTTTCTTCTGAACAATCTTCGGAAGTTATTATTCCAGGTAAAATATTCAATTATTCTTAAACTTTTAATTTAATAAATTTATCCATATTTTTTAAATTATTATATCAATTACATCATGTCCAGAACCTTTAATTGAAAACAACACACCAATAGAAACTGTTGAAATCATTAATCAAGGTAAAAAAAATGGTTTACTAAATCATCTCACTAATTTTGATCGTCCTTCGTATAATTAAATCTAACATTTTAAATTATTATATCAGTCACGTCATGTCCAGAACCTTCTGTTGAAAGTACCATATCGTTGGAAACTACTGAACCACATGAATACTCTCCTGTGGAATCTTCTGAAATTATCAATCAAGGTAAAATTTTTTATATCAAAATAATATTACTAATTTTAATCTTATTTTTAAACTATTATATCATAATTAACCTTGTCTTTAAATTATTACGTTAGTGACACCATGTCCAGAACCTTCAATTGAAAGCAACATACCGTCAGAAACTACCGATCTAAATAAATGTCCTCCTGTTGAACCTTCTGAAACCACAAATCAAGGTAATGACAACGGTTTACATTTTAATAATCTCACTCAGTGATGTTCATTGGAAGGTTTTATGACAATTACTGGAACTAGATGGCTGCTAGAAGGAAATAGAATGCTTCCAGATGGCGCAGCAAGTTCCAGTTATTATTACTCATTGGAAGCTTCTATTGAATTTTTTTCACTGAATAGAAAGTCTAGTAGCTTCCAATGGCTAAATAAATTTACAAAATTGAAGATATATTGTGATCGTGTGATCCAACCTTGATAATTTTGACATTAATAGATTCGTCTCAGTGAGACGATTCGAATAGTATCAAAATCATCCAAATTGGATCACGAAATATCACGTTTCGGAACTACTATCAAAATTAACAAAAAAGATTTTACACAGATTTAAAAAGCAGGTTTTTTGCGAATATTTTGAGATTCCATGATTGAATTTTAGATATTAGATTGATCTCACTGAGCGAATCTAACGATATCAAAATCGCTAAAATTCAACTATAGGATCTGAAATATTCACAAAAAACTTGTTTTTTTAAATTTGTTAAGATTTTTTTTTAATTTTAATACGTAGTAGTTCTGAAACGTGATATCTTGTGATTATGTGATCCAATTTGGATGATTTTAATAACATTCGAGAATCAATGAGATGAATCTAATGATACCAAAATCGTCAAAATTGGATTACAGGATCCAGAAATATCTTTAGTTTTTTGTTAAAAGAATAATATATAAAAAAAAATCTGATATGATTGGTTTATAAATATAGAAATCTTCCAATGAAAAAATCTTCCAGTCAGACTTGCTCACTAGAAGCATTGGTTGGCTGGAAGGATTTGGAAGTCTAGTGACCTTCCAGTCTTCCAATGGGCAACACTGATCTCACTAGTTTTTAATATCTTTTATTAATCTTGAAAAATTCATGTGTTCAGAGCCAGAACCTTCCATAGAAAACAATTCATCACCAGAAAATGCTGATATACATGAATCCTCTCCAAAATCTCCTAAAATTGTTGATCAAGGTAAATTAAAATTAATATCAGATAAGCTTTGTTGTTGTTCGGTCTTTTGACAATATCTTATTCAATTTTTTTTATTATATTACGTTAAAGAATCTTCATTAGGAAACGATTTGGCTTCATCAAAAACATTAGATTCAGAAGAGTTTACAGCTCTTTCTGAAAATGATTTGGTATCAATTTTAAAAAATAATAATTTGGTTATGGAAGAAGGAGATATTTGGATTCTTATTATTAGATGGGGAATCGCTCAAAATCCTTCATTATCTCAAAAAACTGTTGAACATTGGACCGATGAAGATTTTCTATGTTTAAAAATTACTCTTCAAAATTGTCTACCTCATATTCAATATCTTAGAATTTCTAGAATTGATATTATTGAAAAAGTTCAACCTTATCATAGAATCCTTGAACCAACTATATGGGAAAAAATTCTTACACGTTCTAACAATACTGCAAATGATAGTGATGAAGGTTCTAGTGTTGAAACAAATCCAAAACCTGCTCCTACCAAGAAAAAACGTAAGAGATGTTCAAAATTGGAACAAGTTGAAAAACGTATAAATAGACGAATTAAATGGTATAAAAAAAATCTTTATGATGAGGTTAATTATGAATTATTGGAAGGTATGATGAAAATTTTCTAGATTATTATTTCAAAATTTTTTATAATACATCTTTTAATTATTATTATTATATATATATTTATACATTACTTTATAGACTTTCCTGGTTGGTTACGCGGTTGCGAAATGGATAAATATTCTGCTTTATTTGAAGGAAAGCGATGGCAAGATATTGTAAAAATGAAATATAAAGATTTAAGAGAATTAGGAGTTGATCATCATGAGTCTGCATGGCAATTACAATCAAACTTTTGGATTATTAACTGTGATCTTGTAAGTTATTTTATTTCTATGAAAACAAAAAAATATATTAATCAGAATCAATAAATTGATATTAAATATTTTTTAGGCCGCGAAAAAAGGAAAAACATTACCTTATAAAGGAGGTGTTGATAGAATAAATATAGATTTGGAATTAATGAATGGTAATGCATTACACGTGTTAGGTCGCGTACATTTTTTTAATATAAAAAAATATAAATTATTAACAATTTTATTTTAAATTTATAAGATTTCCCTGAATACCTTAAGTCTATTAATATGGAACAATATGCGCCCCTATTCGCAGGAAAAAATTGGAAAGAAATTATTGATATGGATCATAAAGATTTGAAAGCTTTGAAGATTGAATCCGTCAGTCACAGAATAGATATGGTTAAGCAATTCTGGGTCATGAGGCGTAAGATCGTAAGTAATTTATTTAATTATTTAATTATTTAATTATTTAATTATTTTATTTCATTTATTCATTTATTTATTCATCGTGTCTGACGTGTCTGATTATTTTTTTTTTTAATATTTAGTACCATACTAAAAGAGTTAATAAATGCGTTTTGATTCCATCTAAAAAAAGAACAAAAATTCCTGACATGATTTCTGAATTCGAAGATCCAAAGGAAGAAGTCGTTCAACCAAACGAGTGTGACAATAAACTCGAATGATTAAAAAAAATGCTAAAACTTATCTGAACATTATGTTTTACTTTTTTTTTGTACTTTTTTGTACCTTTTTGTACTTTTTAGTTTCAATTCTCTTTTTTACAATAAAGTTAGAGAATTTTTTTTTTTTTCTTTCAATAAATGGTTCGATTGAATTCAGTGTATTAAGGTCAAAACAAAGTTACATCTTCAAGACAAGATTAAGGATAAAATGTTTTTAATTATGATACATACACGTATAATTTCCACGGCAGGTAACGTCCGATTTTCCTTCTTATTGCTTTTCTGCACGTACGTTTACGTGTTATTTTTTATTTAAATCATTCTAACCAATAATGACGAAGGAATATCAACAAAAGGTTCGTGTTAATATCTTGTATCTTCACCAAACAATTCGAAAAAAATATAATCTACTTTAAATCAAGAAACTATAAAATCGGCTCATAAACTCATAAACTGACTATACGAGCATTAAAATGCAAGGGATATAATTAAAATGAAAAAATTGCAGTTTGGCGATTCTTTAAAAAAAAAAAAAAGGAAAAAAAAAGATTATAAAGATCCATTCCAAAATCTTATCGTTATCCAGACGAAAAATCTTTGTGTAACATTGTATTCTAAAATTCCAAGTATTAAATTTTTTTATTCGAAAAAAGTTTCTTAATTGAATTCGAACATATTTTTTCGAATAGAGTTCTAGGCACATGATAATGTTGCAATATTTCTGTATAATTATATATAAAAAAATGTTTATAGAATATCGATCAATGCTAAAAAATTTTATGCTTACAATGATACATGGGCACATACAATGAAACTTTTACTACAAACGTAACGTTAAATCCTATCAGTTGAAAAATTCCAAATTCGGAAAACAAAAGAAGCATTGTTTCTTACGTAAAGTAGGCATTCCAACTTAATGGTGAATAGAACTTGCTCATGTCCTGATCTGAACAAATCGTTATTACGCCTATAACCTTTGTAAATTCATAAAGGTCTTGTTTTCTGAATTTGGAACTTTTTTGTTCAAGATTATTTAGAGCCACAAACCCAGTTTGATCGGTTTCAGAAGTTGAGTATTAGTATTACTGAATTAATAAGTACGCAATCATGTGACATGCTTTTAAGTTTAGTGACATTCATTTGCATACTTTGGCTACCAAAAAAAACCAGGCGTCAGGCTTTGAATTTATCCTTATTTTATAACTCACCAGACTTAATCTTAATTCTTAAAACTATTAAATTTAATTACATATTATAGAAAAACTGGGATTCCCTTATGAAATTTGAATGATATACATATAATAGACCTATTTGTCATAGTAAAGCAAACCATCTTCAAACACTATTTTCGCGATAATATTATATTTACAAGACAAAGTACAATCATTTAGCTATTGTCCTATCAGAATTAAAGTCTGCTATGCTAGACTTTCCCTAAATGCCAATCACTCTCCGATCACATGATAAAGATTATAAAACTACATGTTTAAATATTGAGGTGGGTTAGTTATGGCGAAAAAACGTCGCGGTCCCGTGATCGCTGACCAGTCAAAATAGTCAAATAATGTGCGATGCAATAATCATTTTGACTATCACATGACTGGTCAGCGATCACGGGACCGCGACATTTTTTCGCCATGGCTAACCCATCTAATGAAAATATGCTTTCGAAATTTTTACATGTCCCGGCGGCTAGGACCCGAAAAAAATTTCGAAAAGATTAGATCACAATTAATCAATTTTTATTGGATATCACAATTTTTACCTTTCAACGATGCACGTGATAATTAACCAATTAAATTGTAGTATAGATATGAATTCATCGGTTTACAATTGACAAATCTCAAATACTAAAACATTTCAAGCACATTTGGTTGTCTTGAGATTTAGGTCTAAATTTTTGTAACGAATTAGCGAGCACTAGCAGGTATATATTAAAGATTTAATTGGCATTTTTAAATGCCGATATTCTATTAGAAATGTTGACAAGCTATGTTCTTACATTTTTCGCTAAAGTAGTTCTAAATTACGTATAATAATATTATAGAGCAAATTGTGATTACATTTTTTGCGATTATGGAAAGCAATTTTTTCGGTCCCTGTCCCTGCCGTACGTTGTGAGGGGCAAAGTCGATCCGGAATCTTACGGATATCAACCAATACTAAACTAATCCAAATCAACTCAGTAAACAACCAAACTCTATTTAAACCCTAATGGTAGAAGGCACGAAAGAGGCGTGGAAAGACTTGGTCCGAGTTATTAGGGCCAAATAGAGCTCTAGACTACGTCACGAAGCTCTTATTCGGGATCACGGGGTTATAAGATTATTTATCGGGGAATTAGGAGAACGAACTTTTGAGTTTTATGAGCAAAACGTTAACTGACTTTATTCAAGGTGAACTCTTACGCCTTATATACATTCTTTGACTACAATCTAATTCGCCAATTCTATCTATTATATTAACATATCTAACAGATCTAACGTATCTTACAGATATAACATATCCAACATATCTAACAGATCTGACATATCTGACGGATCTGACATATCTGACATATGTTAGATCTGGCAGATCTTTTTCGACCCACCTCGATCTACTACGCCAAAAAATTATTTCAAACCACATTTTACCCTTTCACAATGTACTGACCCGAGACAGCTCTATGTAGAGATGGGCAAATCGCGGTTTCTTCAAAAATCCAGCGCGGGATAGGATCACAAATCCGCGGGTTTCTTAATTTTTTGTGTCTGATAAAAAACCATGCAGAAATTATTATTGAAAATCAATTTTCTTGTTCTATTAATATAGCTTATCTAAGTATCTCTTAACTTTTTTGATTAATCTCAAAACATTTAATGACAATGTGTTGAATTAGTTAAGTTTTTGTTTTTATCCTATTATTACTTTAGCCTATATTATTTATTGATATATGCTGAGAATATAGTATATGATTACAATAAATAAAGTTTATTCTATTTATTTTTTTTAAGATAAGCAACAATTAAATAAACCTAAATTTTTCAAATAAAGATATCAATATATAATTAAGTTTTTAATTATTTAATATAATATAATGAAAAAATGTCTAAAAACTCTTCCCGACAATTACCTGGACCAAAATTTTCTGCTAAAGAAAAACCAGAACTACTTGTTGGAGAGTTGTGGCCTATACAGTGGTTTGTCT